TTGAGTTTGAGTGAAGTGAAGTTTAATTAATAATGCCGCGACCAAGACCATCGAATCTTTCCCGACAAAGCCGTGATGCAAGAAGAATACGAAATACTGCAAATGAAAGGACAGAAGAAGAACAAGAAATTGCACGTGAACAGCGCCGCGATAGTATGGCTCGACTTCGTGCTTCTCAATCACGGGAACAAAGTGAAGCAGCCCGTGAAACAGCTCGGTTGGCAATGCAGAATCGTCGAGCGAAGAACAGAGGTCAACAAATAGATAATTTGCGACGCAGAACAATATATTTATCAAGTGCTGATTTGAATCGAGCAGCGTTTCAATACGATTGCAGCAATGATTACAGCTTGCATCCTAGCGTTTGCAGTGGGCAAATGGACGTAGTTTGCGAGTATTGTGGTGCGTTAAAGTTTTCCGGAGAAACGCCTGGATTATGCTGCCTTAATGGTAAAGTGAAATTGCCATTCTTGACTCCGCCACCTGAGCCATTGTATTCATTGCTTTGTGGCGAAACACAAGAATCACGCCACTTTCTTGCAAATACTCAAAAATACAATGGTTGTTTCTAGATGACGTCATTTGGGGCAGATATTATCGAAGAACGAGGATTTAATCCGACATTTAAGGTATTTATTTTTGTACTTACATAGAATGTAGTTAAAGAATAACATACTTTATCTATTGGTACCTATGTAGTATATTTGCTAATTCTGAACTCTACTCTCCCATAGAAAAAAGTATTTATAACCCAATTAATACTGTCTGGTTTTTATTAGAAAACGATAGTCATTGGGATACGACAATCGCTGAAGCCATTATCTCTGCATCTCCAAGTCAGATACGCACATTATTCGCTATCATAATTTCGACATGTTTTCCATCAAACCCATGTAACCTGTGGCACAAATACAAGGATAATATGTCAGAAGATATTTTACATCAAATTCGTGACAGTTCCAGAAATCACGATATTGAGATGAATGAGGAGATACATAATCGTGCTTTTCTCTTGATAGCAGATATGTGTTACCTCATGTGCGGTAATTTATTAATCAGGTTAGGAATGCCAGTACCATATCGTGAAATCAATGACAAAGCGAGTTCACTCACCTGTTCAACCTATATCTTAGATTGATGTCTCTAATTAACGTGCACCTGTGCGGCTACATGAATCAAATAGTTGGCACCATCTTAGCTCACCCTGTTTAGGCGCTAATGGCCGCAAAAAGGGTGACACATTAAATTCCAAAGTGTTTTGGTCAATTGTTTTAAAACGAAAACGACAACGGGAATACGGCCGATTATATCGACAACGTACAAGGTGCAACAATCTAATGATATTATTCAGTGACGCAATGTACAATGAAGCATTGATTGTTATAGAGAATCATTGCATTGTCATCAGCAAGATGTAGGCGGGGAAGCTCATTCAGCATTTAAGCTACTATTAGACATTTAAAATAAAAAATATGCAGTGTGAAATAAAAAAAAAACAATTTTCCATGGCCAGAGTGTAAAATTATCATTTGTGATGAATGTACTATGGCACACAAACTTTCGTTTGAGGCATTGGATAGAATTTCGAAAGATATAAAAAACAAAGACAAACTATTTGGTGGAACTCTTTCCTTCTTTCAGGTGATTTCAAACAGATGCTTCCCGTTATTCCACGTTCAACGTATGCAAATGAAATCAACGCTAGCTTAAAAGCATCGCGACTATGGCGTAATATTGAAAAAGTACATATGACAGTAAACATGCGCGTTCATATGCTTCAAGATTCATCTGCCGAAACTTCTTATAACAACTGTTAGATATTGTCAATGAAGGAATTGCTATGCGTTAAAATACTGGATGCATAAAATTACCGACGAATTTTTGCACATTCATTAACTCACAAAATATTCGCACTTAACTTTAGATATAGATTCCCAATGATGATCAATAAGTCACAACTCCAAACGTTGTCTGTTTGTGGCTAAGATTTGGATACAATATGCTTTTCCCACAGACAAATCTTTGTGACATGTTCTCGAGTGGGCAAACCCTCCAGTTTGTTTCTATTAGCTAAGTACGGACTGAGCAAAAATATTGTTTACTTGACTTCGTTGGCAAATTAATCTTTGTTTATTTTTAATTAAGAATAATTTATTAACATAAATAAAGTAAACTTATTAACATAAATAAAGTAAACTTTAATCGTCTACAACTCTTTATTCCTTTTTCAATTATATTTACATCTCCAACACACAAATACTTTTAAAAATTAACGTATATGGTAGATCAACGTTTGCCGGGTCAGCTAGTTTTTTATAAATGGAGGCGAAAACATCAACTATCTTTTTTCGTTAACCTAACACCCTTAAAAATTCCAGAATTAGGAATAGTGGCTTCTGTTATCGGGGAAGTATTTCTATCTCATAAAACTTGCTGGCTAGGGTGAGTATTTTCATTTCGAGTGTCCATCGAGATCCATGAAGTTTCACTTCTAGCGCCTAGCTTTCTAGGCTGTTTGGTTTTTTGTAGGTCAAAGTCCAAGTGATGGTGAGTTCGACTTTATAAGTTATTGATGAAATTGGTATTTTGAGGACAGCTGTTGGAGCTCTCTGCGCCTGTGCATTGCAACTTCCTGCCGTGTTTCCGAACAAACGCTTTTCAGCAATTTACTTGGTTCAGCTGCCAAGTTTGCTAAAACAACTTGAATTTAAAAACAAGTAAAGAAAAGCTCGGATGTACCCGAACAGAACAAAGAAAGTGTTAATTACAATTTTAGCTATTCAGCATATTTTGGCAGAACGTCAAAGGCCTATTCACATACAACTTTCCTCGCTTTACGTGACAGTTCATACTGAAGCAACGAAGCGAAGAAAACGAAGGGTTTGCCAGAATGAAGGGTAATTGAAAAGAAAGTCTGAGAAATGACTTTCGGCCTGATTGATATGGCAGTGATAATACTAAAAATGTTTGAGCTGACTCAAAAATATACGATCAAGGCGACGGATGTGGGTTAGACCAGCTAATTTTGAACAACTTTATAAAGATCCAGAGTAATTCAAAAAAACCTGTGCAGGAAAAATTAAAAAAGCATTCAAACAAACCATCGATTGCCACCAAACGCAGACTTTTTCTCACACTCACGTAAGTAGCTTGTAATAAGAGTGTAAGTTAAAATGTTTTCAAGGAAATGTCTACTATTCAGTTATTTAACTCACGGAGGCACACAGCAAATGTTTTCACAACATTCAAAATGGGACGATCGACCGTGAACAGTATTATTGCTAAAACATATTTTGTGGGATGAGCTCGGTAACATTTATTTATCAGTTTCAAGCAAGCATGAGTGGAAACGAATAGCTAAAGACTTTCAAACAATGTGTAATTTGATGTGTTGGAGCAATCGACGGCAAGCACATTAAGATCAAATGTCCTCCGGTTCCCTATGTTATAATTACAAAGGGAATTACTCCATTGTACTTTTAGCAAGCTGTGATGCAAACTATACATTTACCAACATAGACATTGGTGCCTATGGCCCACAAAGTGATGGTGATGTTTTGAGGAATTCGGATTTTGGACAAAATTGTTCAATGGGGATTTAGCATGCTTTATGGTTGGAGATGCAGCATTTCCCTTAAAAAATTGTTTAATGCGGCCATATCCAGGTGTGAATGTACAGTATTCATTATGCATTTACTCATTATTAAAAATTAATTTTACTTTAGATAGTCTTTCCCCATAAGATAAAGAAGTTTTCAACAAATGATTATCACGGGATCGGCGTGTCATTGAAAATGTTTTTGGGATCATGACAGCACGTTCGAAGGTTTTACTGTCTCCTCTGCATATTCATCCAACATCTGCAAAAAATAGCGTTAAAACAGCAGTTTTACTGCATAATTTCGTAAAAATGAACGATGGCAGTTACTGTCCTCCTGATTATGTTGACCAATATCAAGGAGATACCAAATCAATGGTCTATGGTACCAAGAAATTGGAACACCACTGCCGAGACATGGCAGAATGATGGCAAACAATGCTTCTAGGAGTGAGTTCGCCTTGAGGGATAGTCTAAAGGCCTTTAACAGTTTTTAAATTCCCTTATGTTTAATTTATTATGTGGACCTGTGTTATAGTTAATATTAATCGAATATAATATCTATTTAAGAATGAACAGTTGTATTTAAATGTAATATAGTTTTTAATTAAATGATGAAATACCTTTGTTGTGTAGAGAATAAAAATTTTATATTATATATACATATTAGGGTGGCGCAAAAAAAAAAAAATAATTTTTTTTTTAAGTCTCGTGTGAAAATATGATAGTTTATCATGTTTTAAGAGCCTTGTCCAAAGGACGTATCAAAAATCACCAAAAACCGACTTTTTTTTAATCAAATTTTTTTTCTCGTTACATTTTTAATTTTACAGATCAAAAAATAATAAGTTCCTGAAAATTTCAGCTCAAAATTCGAAGTTTAAAAGATCGCTCGTAATTTTATTCAATTTATCAGTGCATTATTTTAAATTTGAAAGTTTCAGGAACTTATTATTTTTTGGTATATAAAATTATACTGTAACGAAAAAAAAAATTTGATTAACAAAAAATAGTTTTTTGGTGATTTTTGATATCTTAAAAAATTCTGAGCGACCTTTAAACATTTTTTTTTAGCTGTCCTTTGGACAAGGCTCTTAAAACATGATAAACTATCATATTTTCACACGAGACTTAAAAAAAAATTATTATTGGAATTTTTTGCGCCACCCTAATACATATACAATATATTAACAGTACATCACACTTATTTTCCACATTTTCTATTCAAATACATATTGGAATAGGCAAACCTTAAATCTAATCACACAAATTTACTACACTAAATGATATTAATGACAAGGCAAAACTTAAAATAAATGCAACATTCAATTACACAAATTACAAAAAAAAATTAAAAATATTAAAACTTTTTAAAAAGAAATCAGAAGAAATGCAGGAAAGGTTAAAAATAGTGTAAGGAATTGTGGACCTAGCATTTCTGTTTCAACCTATCCTCTGGTTTCTTTTGTAACAGTTCATCTAGAATTTGTAAAAATATTTTACTTTTGGCTTCTGTCAATTGTTCTGATCTTGACAACGCTATCTCCAGGGTTCCACAGTTATTGAATCGGTTGTAAGATTCTTCCTCCACCCGCTGCCCTTTTGAGGCTCTAAATGCGCTGCTGCTGCCCTGGTTTTCAAGGAACCCACTCTCCTCTACGAGCTCCTACACCACAATCACTCACTTGAGTACCCTCCATGTTCACTGTAAATAATAAATTAACATCATCAATACAAAATGAAAATTAATATTTTTAAAATATTTATAACTTACTTTCTGGGGGCAACATATTTCGTTTAAAACCGCATTGGTGGGAAATAACACCATTCCGTTGTATTATGGGCTGCTGCCCTCGACCTCAATTTTTGTGCCGCCACCTCCTGCACGAACCTATCCCGCAACGACGCGTGTTTTTGCAGTGTGCAATGTTCCACTACGAAAAAAATTTATGAATAATCATTTTACAATAACTAATAAATACTAACCTGAGGCTACCATATAATTTGACACCGCCTGCCATGACCGCTCCTTGGCGTTCTTGTTTCTAAAGCTTTTGCAGCTCTTATTGAACAAGCATGGGTGCATTTGCATTGCTTCAATTAGTTAAAATTATTGAAAATTATTGTTTATAACACATAATTATAGTGTATTTTACTTAATACAAAAGCATACATCGAACTATTCTGTCAAAACCAAGGTCTGACGTAAAGCGAATAAAAAGTTCCATGTGAATTGGGCATAAGCGTTCTTTTTTGTTTACAATTATTATTGTTATGCCTTCATGTGAGGGCCACCAGTAATCTATATATAATATATAAAAATGAATTGCTGTTCGTTAGTCTCGCTAAAACTCGAGAACAGCTGAACGGATTTATCTTATCTTGGTTTTGAAATGTTTGTGGAGATCTAGGGACGGTTTAAAAGGTGAGAAAATTTCATGTAATTGCCGGGAAAACCGTCAAAACAGCCCTTTTCTATTTCCCATACAAAGGTTTTCTAAATAAAATGGTGAGTCAATTTCTAATTTATTACCGCTGCATAAAGTTCAAATTTACGTGCGCGTTGGAGGATCTAATGTCGCGTTCCGAAACTTTACCAAAGTGAAACGCGAAGTCGACTAAATTGCATAATCATAAAATATATAGTACATAAATAGTGTTCGACTTAGAGAAACTTAATTTAAGCTAACTTCTGTTGTTAATCTCTCAGATTTTTTTTTTATAAGATTGATAAATCTTAAGTTTTGTCACAAATTAAATTTCTGAACGGAATTATAATATTTGAAATTAGATTTAACAATCAACAAATATGTCAATCCGTCCTGTCGCACTTCAGAAAACGGAAAAAACTATTACGATATTGAGTTACGATATCTACATCCCTTTATTTTTGTGGCTAGAACTTTCTTTATTTTGGTGATGCTTTGTGATAGTGACCAAGTATTGTGCTCTTATTTCGTGATAGTGACACTTTACTGCTAAATGAGCGAGAAAATTTGTCACTTTGATGAGAAACAAAAAATAGTAAAGAACAATTTAACTAAAGGTACTTAAATAATATTTAAAAATTTAAAAAAGTAAGGTTTAGATATAATAAATTGATTAATTACAATTTACGATGCCGAGGAGAAGACGACCTGACTTAGGTCATCGCAGTCAATCAAATTTGCGAAGAGCTACCTTACGTGCTAACCGCACTGATAACCAGAGAGAAACCGATCAAATAGAAAAAATAGTCGTATTACTATGTCAGAATTGCGTTCTTTAGGGAGTGACAATGTAGGAGATAGGCTTAGAATGCAACGAGTTCATGCACATCAAACACAACAACAGCAAGCGAGACATAATGAAATTGAACGAATCCGCAGACGCAGTGCTCCTGTGATTCTTGAGCTAGATGCATTCCGCTATGATCCGGCATACATAATTTGTAAATATTGTAAGGCGTTAAGATACACTGGTGAATCTACTGGATTATGTTGTGCTGGAGGCAAAGTAAAATTGCCAGAATTGGAATCATCAACTTCAACTGGACGACCAGAGCGTTTTTCATCTTTGAGTGAAAAATCAGCAGAAATTTGGCAGACCAATTTTGACACTTTTTGTGAGCATGCGATGCGTTTTTCCCTTTGCGAAAATAAAAAAGCAAAATATGACGAAAATATTCTTTTTGATCTTCCATTTTTCAACGAACGCCAAACGAAAACTACGCAACCGATCAAAAAACTCTTTTTTAGTGATTGACAGCTGAATTGCCAACTATCAAATAACAAAATGTGTTTTACATTTGGACTACGTCAGCAAACCTAAAAATTCAACTGAAGCCATCTATGAGTGAAATCCGCAATTACTTAGTTGTTAACCCAATATATTATATACCCTTATGAAAGTAACAAATGATGAAACTGGAGGGATTTACTTCTTAGATGCACCTGGTGGTAGAGGAAAAGCCTTTTTGATTTCATTAATATTAGCAATAATTCGCTCACAAAATAGAATTGCACTTGCAATCGCTTCGTCGGGAATCGCAGCAACTTTACTTAAAGGTGGTCGAACAGCCTATTCAGCACTAAAATTTCCATTAAATATGCAAAACAATGCAACTCCAACCTGCACCATTTCGACGAACTCTGCAAATTTTATTATCAGGAGATTTTCGTCAAATATTGAAAGTGATTCCACGATCAACGCCAGCTGATGAACTCAATGTATGTTTAAAGTGCTCAAATTTGTGGAAACATGTCAAGGTATTACATTTAAGCAAGAATATGCGTGTGAAGTTGCCAAATGACCAATCTGGAGACATATTCTCTAAACAACTCATTGACATTGGCAAATTTTCGATAGACATGTTGACTGGCTGCATTAACTTTCCTCAAAGTTTTTGTTACTTAACTCGATCAAAAGATGAACTTTTTCAAAAGGTATTTCCAGATGTTTCTAAAAGTTATAGAAACATTGATTGGTTGAGCAAGCGAGCTATATTGGCTGCAAAAAACATAGATGTAAATGTTTTAATTTCAAGCCAATTGAGGATATATAAATCGTTTGATTCGGCTACTAACCAAGATGATGTCATCAACTCTGAATTTTTAAACTCGCTGGATTTGCCAGGATTGCTACCTCACAATCTTCAATTAAAGGTTGGATCGGTAACTATAATGTTGCGAAATATCAACCAACCGCGTCTTTGCAACGCACACGGTTAGCGATAAAAAAAAATTACTGAACAATGTGATAGAAGCAACTATACTGAAAGGAAAGCATAAAGGAGAAGTTATTTTGATACAACGCATCCCAATGATTCCGACTGGCGTACCATTTGAATTTAAACGACTACAGTTTCCAGAGCGGCTTGCTTTNGAAATCGGTAAAGCAGCTCCCAAGATATGGGTTTTCACCTAAAAATGGGCTGTGCCACGCCCACTGTCTAATATTGAACGCGGTTCCTATAAAGTCATCTCATACCATCCCAGAGATAAAATTTAATGTCTCTGGCGTGTTTAGGGCTTGATTTATCGCGCTTTTAGCGCGTAGTTTTTAACAGTACCGTTATATGGGGAGTGGGCGGAGTTTCCACCCGATTACAACTATTTTCACGCTGTAGGTAAAGGTTCTAAGCACATTTGCTTCCAGTGAATTTGGTTATTATAGCATTAGGGGTTTAGGAGATATGCACATTAAACCTATTAGGGGCGGGACCATGCCCACTTAAAAAAAAAATGTTAACTGCAGATGCCCCTCACTAATGTGATCCTGTGTACCAAATTACAGACTTGTATCTTATTGCGGAGCTTTGCTATGGCAATTTATTTGTTTTTGATTAATAGCGTTTTGTGGGCGTGGCAGTGGTCCGATTACGCCCATCTGCAATACCAACCGTCTCACTGTACCAAGAAACATGTCTACCAAGTATTATAAAGCTATCTTAATTTTTACTCAAGTTAGAGCTTGCACGGACGGACGGACAGTCACCCGCATTTAAACTCGTCTCTTCATCCTGATCATTTATATATATATAACCCTATATCTAACTCGAATAATTTTAGGTGATACAAACAAACGTTAGGTGAACAAAACTATTAGACCCTGTAGCAACAGGTTGCGAGGGTATAAAAATTGCGTTTATACATATATACGGAAATGAATATTAATTTTGTCTAAAAAGAGCTTTCGTTCACACATTTATATATACACAGATATTTCGTGAATTATCAATCAGTCGACACTCAAAAATTTTATTTTACTTCAATAGACTTTCTAAATGAGCTCAGACTCAAAAGATTCTAAAACAACACAGTCTCTAAAAGTACCAAAAATTATTTCGGACGAAAAAAGTCCATGCACACCAGCAGAAGCACACATCACCGACACGCAACATTCACCACATCACCTCACACAACGACACTACCATCCAGGATAACCCAACACACCTGTCGATCACCCCACCAACCAGCAACGAAACCACAACCACTCGAAGCGGCCGACCCCTTTGGCGTATCCAATACGAAGCGAACACATCGTCAACGTGGTCGATCGAGTACCTGCAGTCTACATCTGCGGAACTGATCCGGACACTTCTATTTATTATATTAAACATTTTTCATATATTTTTGAGCTGCGTTGCAAGTGTTTTTTGTATTGAGTGGGTTAAATATATTGTGATTTCATTTTACTTAAAATTGTTGCGATACGATATTAAAGAGTGGTGAGTGAACTAATTTCAACTGGTTGGAATTAAAACCATGGCCCCTCGAGCCTAAAAGAAAGGCACTACATATACATAAAAAAACAAAAAAACTAAACAAGTAAGGAAGGGCTAAGTTCGGATGTAACCGAACATTTTATACTCTCGCAAAGTCAAATGGTATATTCATTTGAGATTTCTTTGTGGATTGACTGTTATTTTCGGTAGAAGGTCAACTATAGGCACTGGGGTCCACATATTTAGTACCTAGGGGCTTGAACAGTTTTGGTTCGATTTAAACA